GACATGATCCCCATGTTCGTACAAGTTGCTGATAGGGAGATAGGGAAAGATGTACCTTCCTTTCCCCTTTAAGCCTTTAAGTCTTTAAGCGGCCAAATTCCGCACGATGACCCGCTAAATCATCAGGGTCGCGAGCCGTAACCCTCTTGAGGCTATAGGGGTTTTTGCAGGGGTGGGGGGGCCCGGCTACTGATTGGTCTGCACGAAGTATCCATGACCGGAGATCCCTCCGAACCCCTCGAGCAGTCGCCGGATCCCGTTTGCGCCAAACTTGTCGCTAACAGAGGGCAACCCCAAATAAACAGGAGCTCAACAGAATTTTTTGCATGCACCTACCACTCTTTCATATGGGCGGCATCCAAGGGGTGGAGTCTTGAAGCATCTCAAAGCACCGAGGAGGTTCGTTGCTACCAGGTGCTGGCCTTCAGGATGGCCTTTCCATGCTCTTGCTATGACTTTCTCGCATCGTGTTGCTCCGTAGCCCTCAACTCTCACAGCCAAGGCAACAAAAGCAACTCGACGAACGAGCCAAAAAACGCGTTGAGTCTTGAGAGATCCGACTCACGACTAAGTTAAAAGCATCTCCCCACTCCAGGTCTCCACGCCCAAAGCATAGACACCAAACCCTCCACCCAAAACCACCCCCTAGCCGGAAGCTGAACCCCTTGACCTAAACCCTGAACCCCTTTTTTCCCACAGGCTTGCGGAACCTACACCCTAAACCCGAAATCCTAAACCCTAAACCCCCTTGTGTCTGTCAAGGGCGCGGGAAAGCCGGCCCACAGGTCTAGAAGCCCAGGGGACATGGCCCAAGAGAGCTCAAGAGGTTTTAGGGTCCAAGGGAGGGTTCTGGGGGTTTAGGGTTTAGGGTTTAGGGTTTAGGGTTTAGGGTTAGGGTTCTGGGGGTTTAGGGTTTAGGGTTTAGGGTTTAGGGTTTAGGGTTTAGGTAGGCATGCCTAGCGGAGGCTTTCGGCAGTTTATGGGGGAGGGCTCCTTCATGGGGTTTCCCTGACCCTGTCAGGGCTTGGGGGTGTGCATCAGAGAGTCCCAGCACGATGGGTTCAGGGTTTAAGGTTCAGGGTTTGGGTGTGAGCTCGCCAGCCACGGAGTGCTGTTGAGGGTCTAGGGTTCCGGGTTTGCACATATGCTGCAAGAATGTTCATGGGTAGTGCGAGGCAGAAGGAGATGTCGGCCAACAGCTGCAAGGAAGCAACAGCAAGATTAGGGCCTAGGATGGTTCAGGGTGCGGGACCACCAAGGTCCTGGAACCCGAGCCCGAGCCCTGACCCCCCAAGAAACAGCGTCCCCCCCGAAACCTGCTGCTCATGCAAAGACTCCTGCGTGCAAAATACCGAGCCTCCACCTCCCAGCCATGCCCAGCACGAGACCAGGCAAAACCGGACGTAGACCCTGCGCCCTGAATTACGAACACCCAGACCCAGCCCCTGCCCCCTAAACCCTAAACCCTAAACCCTAAACCCTAAACCCCAGACCCGAAGCCATGACTGAGCCCGGCCTGCTGCCTGGCTGCCAATCACTGACCTGGCCTTGCCCCAGAAGATGGTTGGGTTTAGGGTTTAGGGTTTAGGGTTTAGGGTTTAGGGTTTAGGGTTTAGGGTTTAGGGTTTAGGGTTTAGGGTTTAGGGTTTAGGGTTTAGGGTTTAGGGTTTAGGGTTTAGGGTTTAGGGTTTAGGGTTTAGGGTTTAGGGTTTAGGGTTTAGGGTTTAGGGTTTAGGGTTTAGGGTTTAAATTTAGGGTTTAGGGTTTAGGGTTTAGGGTTTAGGGCCTAGGGTTTAGGGTTTATGCAGGGTTTTTTTGCCACCCGCCTAGCAGACCCCCTCTGGGATCACTCCGCAGGGAACAGTCGTGGTTATGTGATGTCATGTCATGGTCGCAAAGAGGGCCCCGAGCCCTCCCGAGTCTCTCTCGGTTCGTTCTACACCAACATCAGCAAAACATCTCAGGAGGCCCTCCAGGCCGGGCCCTTCAGTCCACAGATGAACCACTTATGAAGCAGTCCGTGGTCCCGGCACCCTCTAGCTTAAAACACAGTCAAAGAAGCTTTCTGGGGCATCCCCCCACGACTTCAACCCATCAACAATGCAGTCATTACGTGAAGAACCATACGAAAGACCAAGTAAAGGTGGGGGATGTCATTTCAGTCAGCTTGTCCAGCAAGGGGGGCCCTCAAGGCTCTTCGAAAAACGCAACCCGAGCGTCACACACTAGGGGTTTAGGGTTTCAGGCTTTGGGGGTACTGCAACTCAATTTTGTGAGGCAGCGTGAGGCACCGGAATGCTTCAAGGCACGACCGGCCAATGACTAATGTGCCCGTGGCGGCTTCTTTCCCGACTCACGCACAAAAACTATGGAAAAACAGTACCCGTCAAAAGCACAACTCTCAAACTGACCATTCATCTACTTGGTTTACTTGCCAAGTATTGTTCCGAACTTCCGGCCGGACGACATAGCATGAAGCCTCGAGTCTAAAGACACAGCCGAAGTCATCAGTAAGTCTCGGCAATATGGCGAAAATAACGACCAGGTCAACACACAGCCCTTGATCCTTCTCGAGACAAATTAAAAGAATCCTAGGAAGGCCTATGGTCCAAGGCTTGGGAAATTAGGGTTAAGAAAGTGTAGGCAAGTACACGACAACAAGCGTGATCGTTCATCGTCCCTCCCAAAAGAATTTGCAGTTGATGTTGGCACTTCAGCACGTCAGCTCTCCAGCGGAGGAATTGAATGCCATCACTCCATCATGACCGGCCCCTACTGAACTATCTGAGACTGATTCCTGAAACAGTCCCGAGCCCTGAAACTCAACGCTAGTTAGGGCCTTCCTCTCCCCTGCTAGTAGTTCCCTGTGCTCTGGCTGGCATCCCAGAGCAGCAACGCCATCCCGAGCTGCGCCTGTGCCTGCACGGGCGCGCGCCCGCGGCAGGCTACCTTCCGCGAAGTGCCGCACACTTCGAAAGCTCCGCACACGCCCTGCCATGAACAACGCAAAACAGAAACTACCCAGAGTAGCTGTTTCTGATTGTTTCTACGTAGAGTGCCTGTTGTGACAGTCTAGAAGGACCGGCTTCCCGGTCCGTAGAAAAGTTTCCCGTGCTCTCCACTATTTTGCAGTAACCTGGGAATCTTCTTAAGGGAACTACTCCATGACTCCATGACCTTAACGCAAAGAGTGCTATAGCGTTACCTCAAAAAACGTTGTTCCACGGGTTCAGGTTTTGGGCTTACGCGCACTTCCCGAGAACAGGTGGACGCCTGGCTCCCTGCCCACGTGGCGAGCATGCCGCCCAGACCTCAAGATCTGCCCTCCAAGAACTGGGTTTGGGGTTTGGGGTTTGGGGTTTAGGGTTTAGGCGCGTAAACCGTAAACCCTTGCTGGATCCGGACTCGGTTCTGCAACACCAAACTTGAAGTTGCCTCTGGCATGTTATCTGCCTACCTGGTGTCACCTTGCCAAATCCCGAACCTAGAACACGAGCCCCAAACTCCGGGGGCAGCCTACCCACGAGCAAACGCAGGAGTTCGGAAAAGAGAGGCTCAAGAGTTGCAAAAAACAAGTTTAGGGATCAGGGACCCATGAAGCACTACAATTGCACCTCAACAGCCTTTCAGCTTTCGCTACTATTCGCTTTAGAACCACCAAAAAAAACAAATATCCGGCACATGGGTAGGCATCCGGGTAGGGCTGAATGCATTGCGAATAGCATGCATAGGCAAAGGAGACGATCCCAAGTGTAGAGTTGGGATTTGCTTCTGCCAGCCTTTTGTTCTTCGACTCCTGGGTGGGACCCCCCAAGTGCCCAACGTAGGTCCGGCCCGGTGGTAGAGGACGAGGCTGCTGTTCTTTGAGCCACAAGGGTTTTGGGCTTCGGGCTCTCCCTAAACCCTAAACCCTTTTGCAACCTGGTCTCTGCAGCCAGCCGGGTACTAAGGACTCTAAACCCTAAACCCTAAACCCTAAACCCTAAACCCTGGGGCGTTGAAAGGAACCCGTAGAAACACAGCGTTAAGACGAAGATCCCTTGAAGGGCCGCTTGCATCTCCCAAAAAGCCGCCCAGGGACCCCCAAGTCCTCAAAACCCATATAACCCCGTTCCCCCCCCAAAAAAACCTCCCTAAGATCCTACAAGCCCTTTTTGCAACGAGCTTGTGTGTTCCCGCCCGGCTTGATGCCCGAAATTCGCTGTACCATATACTCTCTAAGACCCACGAACCCTCACCTGGCCCCAAACAAAATGTCTGTGTTGGTGTGCTTTTTCATGTTGCCCTCCACGCATCATTCGTCGGCCGCCGCCGTCTCTTCGGCTTCGGCCGGGGCGGCGCCGTTCACCTGTGATAAGCAGGTGTGGATTACCCATAGTTCGTTCGGTTTGGGGTATAGGGGGGAGGTTAGGGGATTCAGGGTGTTGAGGGCGTTTAGGAGATGGACCTCGACTTGGCAGCTCACATGGAAACCAGCAGCCGTGAAGCCCTGGAGATCATACACCCTGCCACCCCCTCCCTAGAACCACTGACCCCTCAGAATGAAGCCCCTGAACCCGCAGGTCCCAAAAGGCCCCCAAGGCCCCGCGAATCCCTAAACCTGCCCCGCCTCCTCTTCGAACTCAGCCCGCGGCCGCGTCTTTGAGAACTCGGCCTTGGGCTCCGCATGGGCACAAACCATCCTTTCCGGCCGTGAACCACGACAGGAGATACAACTCCCTGTGAACCCAGCTGACATCACACACTAAGCACCTCCGTTTAGGGATTACAGGGTCCAAGGATGCAGATTGGGGCTTTGGCTTTCAAGTAGTACTTCGGGGCCTACCGCGGGTCTTGCATGAGGCCAGGTTTTGGGTGAGTTCCGGTGCTCCGAGACATTCTGCTTCGCGGTTCTTCTGCTTGTAGGGAAGGTGAAGGCGCGAATACCCACGAAGCGTCAGAACTAGCTACGGCTGCAGTAAAGCCCTGTACGTAAAACAAACCCCACGATCGACGAAACTTCAAGAAGAGAACCTGGTGCTTGCGCCAGGAGGACTGAGTGCCCAGGCCAGCCCCCAAGTGATGGCTGGAGATGCCACGCCCACCGCCTGGTGCTGAAATTCCGATGTTGATGAAGTACATTTTTGCGGGATGCTCAACGTGAAATCCCACTTTTGTTCACTTTCCTCTTCTTTACTGCTGAAAACTCCCCGTAAGACGCAATCCTTCACCAAAATCTTTGCTAACATCTCCATTAAGGCCCCGCCAACAACAGCCAACATCTCGTTCCAGGCCAGCCCTCGCCCAAGATGAAACATGTTGCAACAATGTTCATCCTCCAGTTGCATGCTGGTAAAGCAAACATGTGGGACCTGTGCAATATGGCTTGGCTTTGCGGGTAACTAGCCGCCTGCCCCCGCCTGGGGGGGGGGGGCGGCACGAAACGGAAAGCAAAAAACAGGAGGAAGAACGTGCTTGGTGTCGCAGTATTGCATGCGTTTTCCGGTGGCCGAATGTACCGGAGTGCTGGAAGAGCCAAATCACACCCATCAAAGACGTCTCAGCCTTCAGCAGAAGCCACCATATCCGTGGCATCGCAAAGAGGATCGCAAGATTGGCCACCTCCGGACCGATGCCAGGCCCTAAGCCCTGTTGCGTAGACCCTTGTGAACCCTGATGCAACCAGGCCTGTGAACCCTGAACCTCCTTAGCTCCTCTGGCTGTTAGGGTCTCTACAGGCCGGCTCTGACGGGACCATGTTGGGTGCATCAGCTCAGGTGGGTTTAGCGTTCGCGGCTTGGGGTTTGGGATCGGATTCGCAACGATAAGTACTTGCAAGTCAAGAAACGGTTACATTCGCATACCTAACACTTCATCTTGGCTTGCAGTCCAACGCTCTTCTCTGGGCGTTCCCGCGCAGGGCTCCGCAGCCTGATCCCTGGGTATCTCCTAGTGACGTCGAGTTCGTGGAGTTTATGAGGGCCTGGGGATTAAAAGCGGCTTCAGAAGTGCCATGCCTGAACCCTGGTGACCCTCTGTCCGAAAATCCTATTCCCCTTAGCATTCCCGAACTTCCCCTAGATAAGTTGACGTAAGCTCTGAGGCACCCCACCAGCAAAGGCAAAGCCAACTTGCCAGTGGACCTCCAGAGCATCGAGAAGAATAGGGTTGAGAGGCTTTGGGTTCTGTTTTGTCACCCGGCAGGCAGTCTGGGTGCATGGGGCGAGACAGACAGGTTGCCTCGACCTCCCCATTAACATCACGGCAGGGAGTTCTTGAGTTCTTCCTACCGCACCGGCGTGATTAAGTGCCAGGAGCTTCGCAGGCTCCAACTGACTCATGCGGAGGCCTGGCTCAGAAAGTTTAGGCAACCCAAACGATTGCTGTGGCATGCTTGCTGAGCAAAGATGCTGCCATCCGCGACCGAACGCTGCTGTGGCCCGGAACCCCTTCTGACCAAAGAATCGACCATGACTCGGCTCAAGTCCAAGCAAAGCTATATTATGCTCCACAAATCACGCCCCTTGCCGCAACCCTAACCCCTAAACCCCTAAACCCCTAAACCCTAAACCCTAAACCCTAAACCCTAAAACCCTTGCCCCGAAGCTTACTGCTAGGGCCCCATCTGGACGGCGACAACACGCAGGGCCAAATAGCACCTCCGCGCTGGCATCACAGGGCTTCAAGGCTGCAGGCACTGTTTGGGGAACCCTAAACCCTAAACCCTAAACCCGAAACCCTAAACCCTAAACCCTAAACCCGAAACCCTAAGGGAGTTTCGGGACGTCTCGATGGGTTTCGGTCCATTGGGCTGGGGTCTTGAGGGGCACATGAAATGAGAGCTCCCAGGGCTCCTAGTGGAGGCAGCAGCGGGAGCCAGCAAACCCAGAATGTGCGAAAGAATGCAGCAGCCGAGACACGTGGCTCCTTACTGCCACCATGGCAGGGGGGAAGGGGGGGGGGGGGGGAAATCGAAGGTGGCAACTGTGCCGAGGGAGGTTCTGTCCCTATATATTCTTTTGGGGACTCAGAAAAAACTCCTATAGGTCTAAGTTCCGACTATAGGGTTTGTAAAAGGGCCCCAAAAGAAAGCAGCAAAAGCTGACGCCATACGGAAGAAGCCGAGCCAAAATTGGAAGCAAGGGCCCTCCTCTACCCTGCCCTGCTAGTTACAAAGAACTGTAGGCCTCCTAGCATCGAAGGAAGTTTGATTGGAAAATGATGACAACTCCTATGCAAATGCCCAAAGGCCTCGGTCGTCTCAGACACCCGCAAGAAGAAGATCCCCACGCGGTTCTGAGACCGGCCCCAAGGGGACATTTGTGAGCGACAGACCATAAAACTTTAACTTCTCCATGAGGGAGCAAAAAAAATCTGACACTACCCACTTGTGGACCCACTCGTGGACATCACTCGCACTTTTCACTTGTGGGGATTAGATCCCCCTACTGCTTACTAGTGACAGCCCCTATGAAGAAAAACAGGGCACTGGAGGCGGATCTCTTTATTGCACCACACGTGCTTCAAGTGCCAAAAAATTTTTCCTGGTTGGAAAAACAAAGAGAGGAACAAAAGGAAATTTCCTCTTTTCGTGCTTGCTGTTTTTCCGCACACTCACATAACCAATGTTGTGTTCTTGAGAAGTGCAGGGCCAGCTGGCTGTTTGGTCTAGTGGTATGATCCTCCCCTCTCCTGCCTTGGTACCTCAGTACCCATATTACCCATAGTATGATAAGGGTGCCTTTTTGGGGGTCGGTTACCTTCAATAGGGAACCCTTGAAGCCCACAAAAAGAAGGGGGTGTAAAGGGCACCACGGGGCCACCAAGCTCCAAAAAAGCCCTGGTGGGCTGAGGCGGTGGCTGCAAGGAGACCATCCAGAGAAGGATGGCCACGGGGGCCAGCAGCACTAGGGAACCCACCTTCCAGATATTAAGGGGGAGCTGTCGGCTTTCGGGTTCGAGCTTGTGGAGGATTTTTTTTGGGGGGATTGAGAGATTAGGAGGCTCACACTTCGGGAATTTTGGGTTTTTATAGGGGGCGAATATGGATCATGCGGATCCATCGAGCAACGAGCCTTCGACAGGGTCTTCGGCGTGGCCGCGGCTTCCCCTGCCAGGCCCGCACCAAACACGAAACCCCCATAAACCCCTGAAACCCGATGTATAAGCCCTATATAGGGTTTAGGGTTTAGGGTTTAGGGTTTAGACCTCTAAACCTCCAAACCCTAGAAACCCTGCAAACTCTATAGAACCCTATAGACCCCTAGGCACCCTTTGCTAAACCGTGCCGAGGAGTTCTGAGGCTGCCACCCAGGAAGCCCATCGAGAGGTTGAGCAGCTTTTCCTGCCGGCCCAGCTCTTGTTTCTTTGCGATGTTGGGCACAGGGGTTCAGTGTTTCTGCAAGCACTCTCTGCAAGGGGTTTAGGGCTTTTTTGGACCTAAGGGTTTAGGGTTTGGGTTCATCCCTAAGCCCTGCGAGCTGCGTTGAAAGTTCCGGAAGCACTTAGACCCTAGACCCTGAACGGACCAAAGTCAGCATCCCTCCATCCTCGAAAGAATGCCCTCAACCCTGCCATAAACCCTCAACCCTAAACCCTAAACCCTCAGTCCTCAACCTTCAACCCTCGACCCTCAACCCCACATCCGAAATGTCAACTGCGCGCCTGCAGCTCCTCGGCGACCCTGAGGCCGCCCATGCGGACCAGAGCAGGGCCTCCCCGGCTTCTTGAGGCTAAGGTTTTAGGGTTTTGGGGTTTGGGGTTTAGGGTTTTAGGGTTTTAGGGTTTGGGGTTTAGGTTTCGGGTTCAATCGCTCACACTCGGACAAGCCAGGCGAGGCACACAGGTTCCATAGTCTCAACATCGGCTCTACAGCGCATGTGGCCACAGTCATGCTAGTGATACTACTCAACACTCACTGTTGCTAACAGACGGTCATTAACTGGTGAAGGCTCATTGACTAGTGAAACTTGCCCAGGACATCTCAGTACTTCTCCACAACATCCTATCTCGCCATCTTCTCAACTCGTGGGCGGTCAAGCTGCACGGGGCAGGGGAGAAATGGTTGACCCCAGGACCCCATACAAAGTTCAGGTAAACGTGCTAATTCATCTCCTATTACTCTTCCATTTCTCCCCCCATGGGATTCATCCTCTTTGCCCCTGCACCATCTGTGCTCCGCCCTTTCACTGTCCCGTCCCTTTGCCCAGGCATCTGCCCAGTGCTGTCTCTGGTCGCTCACGTGCCCTTCCGCTGTCATCTTCTCGTCACTGTCTGGTGCGCCTCGGGGCCTAGGCCTCAGCCTATTGTCAGCGAAGTCACGTGGTTCCTTTGCGGAGGCTCGCCATCCTTGAATTCTTCTTGAATTCCTGAATGTGAATTCGAATTCCGGGTTGAAGCGTTCAGGGTTCAGGGTTAGGGTTCACAGCTCAGGGTTTAGGGTTCAGGATTCAGGGTTTAGGAGCCTTTTTGTTTGCCTCCTGCCTAGGTTTAGGGTTCAGGGTTCAGGGAAAGGTTTCGGGTCAGGGTTTGGGGTTTAGGTTGAAGGTAGTTTTTTACCTCAGCCATGCGCTTCCCATTGTACAGTGGGCGCAGCCACAAGGCGCGTGGGGAATCGCTCTAGGTGCAGGGTTTCGGTTTTGGGGTTTAGGGTATGTATCGGGTTCTTGAGTCCATAGGGCTTCGACAGCCTTAGGGTCTGTAAGTGTAGAGAGTTCGGTGAGTTTAGGGCCTGTGAGTTCAGGGCTTAGGGTTCTTGAGTTTAGGGAATGCCGCTTGAGGGAGTCCGTTGAACGTTTAGGCTTTTTTTCCAAGGCTGAGGCCTCTCTAGAACTCTCTCTCTCTCACTCACAGGTGCTCAAACCCCTGAAGCCTAAACCCCTAACCCTAAACCCTAAACCCTAAACCCTAAACCCTAAACCCTAAACCCTAAACCCTAAACCCCTGAACCCTTTCCAAGCCTGAGCAGACCGAGTGTAGCCCGAAGAGGGCCGTGGAAAGCCCCAGGAGGCTGCCTCTACGGAAGCTGCGGATATAACGGGGTTCTAGCCTTTAACCGTGCAATAAGGTGATGATACTCATCTAATCAGATACTAGTATAATGAGATAGTGCGCATGTCATAAAAAAACAACCATACAAAAATGGAACATATTTGTCACTTCTTAAGAATACTAATGATAGTAATAGCAGTAAGCTACGAAAAAATCCAACAATAGAAAAATATTGCAATACTATAATAAACATCATATGACGACGTAAGAATGCAACAATGTAATCATACAGCGACGACTCTCCCACTCGCGTTTGGCAGGATAGGCTTTGAAGATCCTCGGTAGATTTTAGGGTTTAGGGCCTTTAGGGGTGGAGTGTGGCACGAAGAAGGCACGCCACAAGCCGAACATCGCTGCACAGGACCCATGCGCCTGCCAGACTGGTGATGCCCTGCACCAAGGACAACCTGGACACCAACGACAGATCTCTCGCAGACTGGACGGTGAAGAATGTCAACATGGGGGCTGGCATCTGCGCAAAGCTGAGGTCAGAACACAACTCCCATGATCAAACACACCAGGACACCCTGAGTATGAGTCTAACCCTGGGAGCTAAGGGAACTAAGTGGGGCCCTTGCATGGGAGGGATATTGACTACTGACTTGTGATGGCACTCTCCAAGCATCTCATAGGCTGGACTATGGAAAGATCAGGCATGAGATGCTCAGTTGCAGTCGGAAGGGGAAGGGGGGGGGGGAACAGTTGCCAAACAGCGGAGTTTGCAGACATCGAGTGGTGGAAGAATCGGGGACATTTTGCCTTCATGCCTACCACTACCACGCTGTGCAAGCCCTGTGAGCCCGCAAGCTGCAAAGGCTAAGAGCCCCAGAAGTCCCGCAAACAAGGGGAGCTGTTGTGTAGTATAGGGGGTCTGAATAACGGAGAATAGGGTTTGGGGGGCTACTCTAGTATAATCATAACGGGACCATAAGGGAATACCTACTACTAGCAATTCTTCCGACCCCTATATTATGAGTTGTTCGACATGATTGTAGGATCTGGTTCGTCAGAATCTAAACTGAAGATTGTGGAGAAGAGAGGCCCAACCACTGTCTTTTTTTGCCGCAGCTGACCTTGTCTTTATCAGCGCAGCTGTACAACGGGCGGGCGACGTGCGGCAAGATTCTCGGCCGCGTTCTGGCGATCGTCTGGCTGTCACTGCTTGCTGACCTCTTCAAAATTCTCTCCTCGGCAGATGTGTGTCAATCATGCGGACAAAGGCAAAAACAGTCTCGGTTCAGCTTTGGGTGATATTGGCATTCTTCGGATACTTGGTGGCGAGGACCGTGCTGCATGAGGTCTTCGGGCTTGGGCTCGAAGTTATGTGGGCTGTTCTGGCCACTCTCGGAGAGATATAGCCAATATCACCCAAAGCTGAACCATCATCATTACCGGCACGACTGGCCACAACCTTTCGAGTGTTAGAGACAGCAGTGCTCGGCCGAGCCATGTTCTGAAGTCGTCGAAGCCGCTAACTCAGCCCAAAGTTGTGTGCGCCAATGATGGGTGCAGATTGTCAATTTGTGTGTAGATGCAAGGTGCAGATTGTCAACCTGTGTGTAAATGCTAGGTGCAGATTGTGAGTTTGTGTGTGCAGATTACAGGTGCAGATTGTCAATTTTACAAAGAGAAAGAAAACCCCTTTCATTGTGTTCCATTTGCTTGTAGAAGAAAGCCTAACAGGAGCCTAAGCCTTAACAAAAACACCATGTAGAATGGCGTGACCGTTGAGACAGGCTGCCGATGTCAGGGATGTCGTCACCTGCTCAAGCAGCTCTTGCAAGTATCCGTGTGAGGATTCTGCAGCAAGAAAAGTGCTCGTCAGACACTGAGCGCCTCCTGTCTCCGCAGCAGGAGCCGATCGGAAACCTCTGCCGGGTTGAGTTCGTACACTGAAGACAGGAGCCCCTCGACCAGCCGACTCTCTCTGACAAAGGCTCGTGCATTTGAAAGCCTTTGATCTGAGGATTTGCAAAGAACCTATTCGCATATCTACGACACACACACCAAAAAAAGAACGCGACATTGGTTCTGGTAGGGTGCTGGCTTCGGTGCTAACCCTGACATCAACTGTTCAGTCCCCTCCCGAAAGCCTTCGGCAATTCGCCGCAGGTTGGTCAAGTTGTCTGCGCCGAGCCTTAGTGCAGCCCAAGGAACGTACGAAACCATGAAGCCCATAAGCCCTTGCACGCCCGAAACCCCACACAAACGCTGCAAACCTTCAAGCCCCACTCCACCCCACGCAGCCGCCGAAATCAGCCCTTTTAAAGTCCTATGAAGCGCAGGCGCCCTAAGTTCAAGGCCTCCCTGCGCGCCATGGCCTCGACACCGATGGAAGAACCAACGAAAAGCTCCCCCTTCCCAAACCATGCAAGCCCCTTTTCGAACCCAGGCGATGAGCATCAGCTGGGACCCTAGCCATAAACCCTGTAAACCCTATAAGTCCTTTCAAACCCTATAAACCCTATAAACCCTATGAGTCCTTTCAACCCTATAAACCCTATAAACCCTATAAACCCTATAAACCCTATAAACAACCCTAAAAACCCTAAAAACCCTATAAACAACCCTAAAAACCCTAAAAAAAAACAAAGAAAAACCCTATAAACAACCCTAAAAACCCCTAAAAAACCCTCTGAACCCCATTAACCCCAGGGGCTGGTGGATGATGCCCGGCAGGAGCTCCTCGAGGCGCTTGCTCTCCGGCTGGCCGGTGATGACCTGGCCCCAAGGGGTTTCGGGTGCAGGCTTCAGGGAGTTGAGGGTTTAGGGCTCCTTTTTTCCACCTGCCTAGCGGAGCTCCTCTGGGACGAGTTTAGGGTTTAGGGTTTAGGGTTTAGGGTTTAGGGTTTAGGGTTTAGGGTTTGGGGGTTCAAGCCCCACTCCATTCCACACCTCGAAATCCCCATAACCCCAAGGCCTTGAAGTGCTAACGCCCTCAATGATACCCAAGCACGCTACACCCTCATTACACCCTACACCCTTTAGAACCAGGACTCGGAGCATCAGCTGGAACCGCTACACCCCAAACCCCAAACCCCAAACCCAAAACCCCAAACCCTAAACCCTAAACCCTAAACCCTAAACCCTAAACCCGAAACCCTAAACCCTAAACCCTAAACCCTAAACCAGCCCAGAAGCCCCAAAAAGTCCCCGGCTGAGGCCGCGGGCATAGGTGTTGGCGCCGACCGCAGCTTGCACCTTGGGGGCGTTGAAGTGGAGAACGCTGCCGTCTTCCGTAAACATGTTCACCTCCTCGATTCCTGCTTGGATCCCTAAACCCTAAACCCTAAACCCTAAACCCTAAACCCTAAACCCTAAACCCTAAACCCTAAACCCTAAACCCTAAACCTGGAGGGTCTGCAGGCTTCTCGTGGCGGTTTTGGGGGGTTTGAGGGTTTTGATGTTTGTGCGCGTAGGATGACATGGAAGGCAATGGGTCAACGACCGAAGAAAGAGTCGCATCTGAGCAAGAACCATGCTTCGCACGAGTTGAGGTTGAGGGCTTCGACTCTCGTTACGGGGTGGCGGTGGCGGTTGGCTGTTGAGGGTTCGTCAAGACCTTGGGGTCAGTGCCGACATGTGTTGGGGGTTGTGAGACTACACCAGGGGCAAGAGGACAACCCAACCCGAAACAAGTTCTGCAGCCGCTGACAACCAGATCACCTGCTCATGCGATCAAGACCTCAACTGCCTTCGACAGAACCCGGAACCCCAAACCCTAAACCCAGCGCCAGATCCCCCAAGGCCTTAAACAAACGGCCCTCCCCAAAGCCGGTCCTGGGATGCTGTTCAGTCCCAGTCGCTTGAGGTGCGCCTTTTCGCGCAAGGCTCGGCGTTCGACTCTGGTGGAGCGCGACTACCAAACCCCCAAAACCCTAATTAAACCCTAAACCCTGAACCCCGGGGCCAGATGACCCCGAAAAGGGCCTACGCCACTGCTTCATATACCTTCACAGGAAGTATAGTAGTATCAAGTGTATGACCCCAATCTTAGGGTTCATTTGGCCCCCAGGAAGGCTTCAGAGAGCCCGATGTAAATGCTTGGGGGCCGTAGCGTTCTACTCGGGGCAATACATCCCCCAAACCCTAAGATGCATTGAGGGCCATCAATTTTCAGGTTCCTGAAAAGAAGGGTTTTTGAGGCCCCCCCGGTCCAAACTACCGTCTACCTCTTGAAAGGAGTCACCACGTGACAGGAGAATCCACAAGTCTATCAGGGCCTCAGGAGTACCTTCCCGCACCTTCGGGATTTTTGGCCCACGGTTCTCTGCACTCCACCGGCCCTCTCGGGGTTTGGGGAAAAAGTTAAACCCTCGACGAAGAGCTCACGGCTTCGGGTTCAAGGTTTGCCTCACTCAAATTATGCCTGAAGCTGCTTCTCATCTGCGGTGTTCGTCTGATGTTTGGCCAGCTTTCGACCTGGGGTACAGATGTGATCACACTCGCACTGCCACCCATATCCCATAGGTCGCTTGCGCGGTTCAGAAATCGGGCGTTGACTATGACTGGGCTTTCTCCACGTGTTGGTCCAGGGCTGCAAGTTTGGGGTGAAGTCTACAATGGGCGCAACTGTTAAGGCATTGGAGTTCTTCTTGGACCTTTATGTCGGCACCTTTTTCTATACTCGGACTGGGCTTAAACCAACTGCTGACCGGCCACGCCGCGCAGTGCCCTTGCCGCCCGTGCGCACAGCGTCGAAGCCTCAGGGACAGTCTCGGTGTCAAGGCAATGGAGATTCTTTGCGGGGGGTGGAGGAGGGGGAAGTGATGTTCCTGTCGCAACGGGTATTCTACTAGTATGTTTTGGGGGTCAGGGGGACCCTCTTCTTTGGAAGCTCCCATGCCCACACCTGATATGTGTTCTGCGGACGCTTGCACACATGTGTAGACAGACTATGTACGTGTAGTACATGTTGATCCTCCTTTCGCAAGGGAAAAAACATTGAATAGGGTGTTGGAGCCTGCCTGCACCTGATGCTCGCAGCTGAGGGCCCTCATGTCGCGCAGCTTCATGTGTAGGTTGCTTAGCAGGTGCACGCATCTTTCGGATGGAGTCTCACCCCCGAAATCCTTAGCGTTCAGAAGGCGTTTAGAGTCTGACTCCCAGGAGCGTACCTGAAGGACTCTTGCATGCGTCTAAACATGCTTGGCACAACTGGCCAACATCGCCCAGCTGCGCTGTGCCAACTTGGCGCGCGCCGCCATAACGGCCTGGGTTTAAGGTTTAGGGTTTAGCGTTTAGGGTTTAGGTTTAGGGTTCTAAAAGAGAGCAACCGGTGGAAGGATATCAGGGCACCCTTTGTTGGGGTTGGCGACTTGAAACAAAAGAGGGAAAAGGGCACCACTGGGGCCACCAAGGCCCGCGTGAGCCCCGGGGGGCGAGGTGGAAGGCCCTCAAAACTGACCCAGTTCCGCAGGACGTCGAATTTCGGCTTCAGGCGGGGAACTTTCCAGACCATGGCCTTCTCCCTACGGCCTCTCACACCTAACCCCCAGACACAGAATCAGGCTTGTCCACTTCAACCAAAACACTCACTTAAGGGATATCAAGCTCTCTGAGACCTATATGTCTTTTTTGCATCCAGGCTTGGGTGAGTGTGCCGGGAAAGGTAGGTCTAAGCTCCAAAACTCAACTGGCACCCCGCCTCGGACTGCTCCATGGCGTCTGCCTGGCCAGCATGCACTGCTGTCCCTTTTCATCAACAAGCACCCCAACATTGAAGTGGAGTGCTCAGAAATACTGGAGATAGAGGAAGCGGCAGTGTCGAGCGCTTCCCCAATGAGATCGTTGGCTCACATGCTTGAAGCCGTTTCGAAGCCCTGCAGCCTCTTCGAAATGACAGCCGGTGCCCTCTTCCTTGTCTCTGAGCCCAAAACTGCTTGGCCGAAGCAGCAAGCAAGTTTCCAGAACAGCCAAACCCCCTTATTTCAGGATTCCCTAAATCACGACTGGAACCTTGATGTAATACTCGTCATTAAGGGTTTTTGGATGGCTCACGCACGCGCGGACCGCTGGGAGGTTGTTGCTTCAAGGAAGGCACATGAAACCTTTCTTGCATCTGGACTCTGCAGGCTTCTGAAACCCTAAACCCTAAACCCTAAACCGAGCGCCTGGAGCTTTGTTGATCTTCCTTGAGGCTTCGGAAATCCATACAGAGGTAGAAGCAAGGCTACCTCCAACAAAGGCGCGGCTAAACTGGACCAACGCCGAACATCTGCAAAGCCGGTCTGCCTATCTATATATACATGTACATATATATATATATATACACATATTATACATATATATATATATATACATATACATATATATACGTCTATGTATGCATATCTATGTATAGTGCAAACATATGTGTATATCCGCCGACCCCAGCAACAGCGGGGCGGCGTCAGTGAAAACCCTCCCTCCCTGCCCTCACCGCAACCTCTTCCCCCTTCCCCTTCCCAACCATTCCACTCCACCTCTCCACTTGGCCCCCACCATTCCACTCCACCTCTCCACTTGGCCTTGCCTTCTGCCCCTAACCTCCCACCACCAACCCCTTGCCCTGCCCCCCCTTCCCAACAATTCCACTCCATCCCCCTCCCCCACCCCTTCCCCATCCCTGCCCCCCCCCTCTCACCGTACGCCCACTCCACCCACCACCAACCCCTTCCCCGCCCCTAACCCTCCCACCACCAACCCTCCATCCTCCTCCCCTACCCCTTCCCCACCCCCAAGCCACCCTTCTCCAGCCACTGATCTCCTCCCCCCCACTCCCACCACCAACCCCTTCCCTGCCCCTCCCACTACCCTTCCCCTTCCCAACCACCACTCCATCCTCCTCCCCTCTCCAGACTTGATCAGATGACTGACTTTAAAGGACTCCTCCGCTTGCTCCGCCCTTCCCTCCCCCCCACCCCCCCCCACCCCCCCCCACTCCACCTTTTGACTTGACACCACCATTCCACCAACCCTCCATCCTCCTCCCCTACCCCTTCCCCACCCCCAACCACCCTTCTTCAATCCACTGACCTCATCTTCTCCACCTACCCCACTCCCACCACCAACCCCTTCCCTGCCTCCGCCCTTCCCTCCCACCAACCCCCCCCCCCCCCCCCCCGCCCCCCCCCCCCCCCCCCCCCCCCCCCAACCCCCCCCCCCCAACCCCCCCCGCCCCCCGATCCACCCCCCCCAAACAACCACCCCCCCCCCCACCCACCCCACCCGCCTGAAACGGAACCTGACGGGAGCCTGCTTGGACCTCCTGGACCCCCCCCCAACCAACCCAACCCAACCCCCCCCCCCAACCCACCCCCCCCCAACCCCACCCACCCCCCCCCAGCCCAACCCCCCCAACCACCCACCCCCCCCAACCACCCACGCCCCCCCAACCCAACCCACCCCCCCCCAACCCCCCCCCCCCCAACCCAACAACCCCAAACCCACCCCCCCCCAACCCAACCCACCCCCCCCACCCAACCACCCCCCACCCCAACCCAACCCCCCCCAACCCAACCCACCCCCCCCCACCCCAACCCACACCCCCCCACCCCCCCCACCCCCCCCCCCCCACCCCCCCCACCCCCCCACCCCCCCACCCCCCCACCCCCCCCCCACCCCCACCCCCCCCCCACCCCCCCCCACCCCCCCCACCCCCCCCCCGCACCCCCCCCCCCCCCAACCCCCTCCACCCCACCCCCCCCCCCCCACCCCCCCCCCACCCCCCCCTTCCCTCTGTTTACTGGCTCATGAACCACCTCCACCCACCACCACCCCTTCCGCCCCCTTCCCCTTCCAACCATTCCACTCCATCCTCCTCCCCTACCCCTTCCCCTGCCCCCCCCTCGATCAGATGACTGACTTTAAAGGGCTGCAGTGCCCCCTCCCACCCCTACCCCAAAGCGCAACAACCACCTACCTGCAGCCTGCAGCCAAGACACCATCTCACCCCGCGCGCTTTCCGGCAATGCATCTGAAACCTGAGCGACTGAATGAGTGATGACATGACATGGTGTCTGCAATAGCACAATCTCTCGAGGAATCAATGCCTCGAACCCGGATTCTGTTCATGAGTTTGTGGTGCCCATCTGCAAAGAACACAGGCCGGACTGCACTTCATGTGTTTGTGATTGTTTGTGGTGCCCTCATCTGCAAAGAACATAGGCCGGACTGCACCAACAGCCAAAACCTAAGCCAGCGTGTCCCTCAAAGCCAAGCGTCGCAAACAGAATCGATCTCCAGCTGGGTGGGAGCCTTGAGGTTTTCGTAACTGGGAAACTCAACACAGTGGCAGCGCAACAACCACCTGCAGCCTGCAGCCAAGACACCATCTCACCCCGTGCGCTTTCCGGCAATGCATCTGAAACCTGAGCGACTGAATGAGTGATGACATGACATGGTGTCGTTCATGAGTTTGTGGTGCCCATCTGCAAAGAACACAGGCCGGACTGCACTTCATGTGTTTGTGATTGTTTGTAAGGTTTTCGTAACTGGGAAACTCAACACAGTGGCAGCGCAACAACCACCTGCAGCCTGCAGCCAAGACACCATCTCACCCCGTGCGCTTTCCGGCAATGCATCTGAAACCTGAGCGACTGAATGAGTGATGACATGACATGGTGTCGTTCATGAGTTTGTGGTGCCCATCTGCAAAGAACACAGGCCGGACTGCACTTCATGTGTTTGTGATTGTTTGTGGTGCCCTCATCTGCAAAGAACATAGGCCGGACTGCACCAACCGCCAAAACCTAAGCCAGCGTTTCCCTCAAAGCCAAGCGTCGCAAACAGAATCGATCTCCAGCTGGGTGGGAGCCTTAAGGTTTTCGTAACTGGGAAACTCAACACAGTGGCAGCGCAACAACCACCTGCAGCCTGCAGCCAAGACACCATCTCACCTCGAGAACGGAAGCATTTTTTGATAAGTTGTAAGGTTTCTTTTCCGACCCCGGATTTTTGGGGGACTTCCCCCTCAAGATCATCGAGCTTCACGGTTGTTTTGCGTTTTTTGAGGGGGGTCCTGCAAGTCATTTAGTCATTTTGGGGGGGTGGCAAGACAAAAAAATGACTTGCACAGCCCCTCTGGGTGGGGGGGGTGCAAGGCACTATCTGGGAGTAGTGATATGATTATACTGCCAAGCAGAAACAACAGCCGCACTAGCACACTCGTGCACGCACCATCCTATCCTCTGAATCCTCGTAATGCTGAGCAGTGCGCTATAAAGACAAGTTTCGGGGCTTATCCAGGATTTTGGGATAGTTTGGGGGGGTCGGGGGCAGTGCGCATTAAAGACAAGTTTTTCGGCCCGAGTTCCCGATTTTCCTTTCCTCTTCGTTCCTCTTCGTTTCCTCTTCCTTCCTCTTCGTTTCCTCTTCGTTCCTCGCTCCTTTTCGTTTCCTCTTTGTCCTTCCCAAGAGCCCGAAATCGGGGACAAATCCCATTAAAGAAATCGGTCCCAAACAGCTCGGCAAGGGGGAGTCCACGAGCCAGCCAGGCCCGTTTTAGAAGGGATTGTGCGGGGGTCCGCTTTAATGACCAACTCTCGGGGCTCGGGGCTTGGATTTCAAAGCCCCGGCCTCTTGGCGAATAGGTGGGGCCTCTTGGCTTCCGGGGGGGGGGGGGTCCGGGGGGGGGGGTCCGCGGGCGAACCTACTACAGCACGATTGTTGAGGGGGGGGGGGGGGTACAACATAAAAGCGGGCACCACATTAGCTACTTTGATTATGGCAAAACATGGCAAAACGTAAGGTGATCCTGAATGTCCAAGACGCGCCAGATGTTGTCCAGCAGGCTTTGCTGGTCCCACGCCTGGCGTTGAACTTCCAGGGGCAGACGGAGGAGGGCGCGCTGCCGGCGGCGGCCTGGTAGGGCAGCCACGCGCGCCCGGCAGCAAGGGCATTGCGGCTGCCCGCCTTCCGGGCGGACCCGCAGAGCCTAGCAGGGACTTGACAAAGGCCACAAGGCGGGAGTCAATGTAAGTACTTTTTCTTGGGTTCGGGGGTTGGGGGGGGGGGGCAGCCCCCCCCCCCCATTTGCAAACACGATGCTCGCATGATGGGTTTGGCCATTTCCAAACACAATGCCCGCATGATGGGTTTGGAAGGGACTCATATGGTCTTGACGCAAGTTTGCACGGCTTAAAACAGCAGGGGGTTGGGAGGGGCGCAGCCGGAAGGGATTCATATCGTTTTGAAGCAAGCTTGCACGGCTTAAAAAAGAGGGGGGGGAAATTAAAAACCACGCAAGGAGCGGACAAGCAGTGGGTGGCTAAGCAGGGGCGCGGGTTTGGAAATCCAAGAAGCGGAAGATCAGAAAAGCAAGCGGAAAAGCGGAAAAGCAGAGAAGCGGAGTAAGGTGAGACAGAGGGCAGGAAGGCAAGGCAAAAGGAAACAGCGAAAAGCAAAATAAAAAACATAGACCGGAAGCAAAAAGCAGAAAGCCACGAACCACATCGAGAAACAAGTACAAAGAACCAAAAAAACGGAGAGCAGAGATCAGAAAGGGAAAGCCAAGGCAAAGTAACAAAAGCAAAAAGCAAAAAGTTAAAAAACAACGAAAAGCAAAAGCTCAGCAAAAAGCAAAAAAGAGCAGAAGCGAGAAGCAAAGAAGTGAAAAGCGAAAGCGAGAAGCAAATGCGAAAAGCAACAGTGAAAAGCAAAAGAGAAAGCAAAAGACAAAAA